ACCTGGGGCAGGTTACTTAACCTTTGAGTGCCTGGGTTTTCTTATTGTAAAATGGAATAATAGTGCCTCCTTTATGAGTTATGGGTTATGTGAAGATTAAATGAGTTCACACATGTTCATTCATTTAAGTGCTTGGTCCCTGCCAAAAGTACTCAGCAAATGTTAACTTTATTGTCCTCAATAAATGACAGAGGATAGTAATAGAATTATAATAACAAATCAGTTAATAACAAGGTCTCTTGGTTATGGTCTAGATCAGCAGTTCTCAACCTGTGGGTCGCGACCCCTTTGGGGGTGGAACGACCCTTTCACAGGGGCCGCCTAAGACCATCGGAAACACGTATATAATTACATATTGTTTTTGTGATTAATCACTATGCTTTAATTATGTTCAATTTGTAACAATGAAAATACATCCTGCATATCAGATATTTACATGACGATTCATAACAGTAGCAAAATGACAGTTATGAAGTAGCAACGAAAATAATTTTATGGTTGGGGGTCACCACAACATGAGAAACTGTATTAAAGGGTCGCGGCATTAGGAAGGTTGAGAACCACTGGTCTAGATCCAGTCCTATTTCCATGAACTACCCACAAAGCACCCTGTACTTCCCATCAATCATCACAATACATTGGAATACACACCGCCCCCCCCCCAACACCTCCATTCCCTTCAAAAACCCTACCTCCAGCCTGCAAAGTCCGTGAGAACTTCTCATCCCATTCACCTTTGTATCGATGTGAACAAATGACAAATGTATACTCATGTTGTCTGGGTGTGGGACATTTTTTAAACTCTTCAATCCTATAGTTGCAGACTATCTCTTGCTTTGTGTCATCTCTACAGATGCTTGTTACAGTCTCTCACATGGGGATGTCTGATTTTATCATGAGTGACAATTCCAGCATTTTTGCAGAGAGTATTGTTTGCACACACCCGTTCAGAGGTGCAACTTCCACACTTGACACTCTGGGTTTGATCTCTTTATTAGATGGTCACGTTCTATGGCTCTTCACTACTGAATAGCTCCGTGCCTCCTGGAGAACCCCTGGAAATTAAAGGTGCCAAGAAGCCTGGCCTTGTTACCAAAAGTGGACTTGTTCTTTTTGGTAACGATGGAAAAGCAGTGAGTGTTCAATACGGTCACCTGTAAAACACTCCCTCCCACTTCTTTTTGTTTCCTTCTATACCCCAAGCTATTAAGGGAATATCTTTCACAAGGTCATCTGGCTTTGCAGTGAGATGTGGGAGGCTCAAGATACCTGTGCCCATTTTTCTCTGGGGATGAGCCACCTCGATGTGCCTGGATGAGAACAAGGCTCCCAGGATGGCCCCGAGGACCTGAACAGCCAGCTTTACAATGCAGTAGAAAGAGCATGAAATTTAGTCAGAAAATGGGATATAAACCCCTGCTCTGCCATCTACTGGTCATGGGAAGGATGCTTCTCCCCTCTGGGTCTGTTTCCCCATTTATGAAACAGAGAGAGTAATCCCAACTGTCTGCCTTCCCACTGCCAGAGTCTGGGAGGATCAAATGAGATGGATGTGGTCCTTTTTTAGATGCTCATTGCCTCGGCCTCACCAGGCAGGTGCCCACCCACATCCCTGTGCTTGGGAGTGTGGGCTCTGGCTTCAGTGGGCTCTTGGGAAGCTTCCCCATGAAGAAAGCAAAAGGGATTTTGCCACATGACAGATATTCTCCGCTAGCTTGCAGGATAGATCAACTATTAATATTGCAGGCTTTAGGGTCCAGCTAGTTCTGGGGTTGTAACCACAGCTCTGTTACTTACTGGCTGTGTGGCATTGGGCAAATTACTTACTCTCAGTAACCTCATTTCCGTATCAATAAAATAGAGCTAATAATGGCACCTGCCTCCATCAGGACTTATGAGATTAAATAAGATACTTCAGCATATGCATAAAAGCATACACGTACACACATGTGCATGTGAAGTGTTCACATGATGGCAGTGGTGGTAGTTATCGTAGATTTTAGTTCAAATTCCCACATCAAATGTCAATGTTTCAGGAACTTATCTATTTTGAGATGTATCTACTCCTAGACTTAACTGTCTCCTGTTGGCTGCCATTGTTAAAATACTACTTCAGTCCCTTTACACATAATGGCAAGTCCTCTTCATCCATATGTTTGCATTTGCCAAATAATCTGCTCCTTAAATATATGATTCCTTCTTCCACCAACCTCACTTTTGAATTGCCTGGACCCTCAATTCTCCTCCTTATTTTGTTGCTACTTTGTAGCTGATGGTGAGAAATCTACAGTTTGAAGATGGGAAAATGATTCCTGCCTCTCAGTACTTTTCAGTGGGTGAGACCTCAGTGGTAGAACTTACAGCCGAAGAGATGAAGGTGGCGGAGACCATCAAGGTGAGCATGTGATGTCCTCACTATTTCTCCTACCTGGGAAAAGTGGAGCACTTTTGTACCTGGTCCCATCGGGACTCAAAGTAGTGGAGATGGAAGTTTATTTCCTCTTCTTTTGTTTTTGTTTTTAATATATTTTATTGATTTTTTACAGAGAGGAAGGGAGAGGGATAGAGAGTTAGAAACATCGATGAGAGAGAAACATCGATCAGCTGCCTCCTGCACACTCCCTACTGGGTATGTGCCCGCAACCAAGGTACATGCCCTTGACCGGAATCAAACCTGGGACCCTTGAGTCCACAGGCCAACGCTCTATCCACTGAGCCAAACCGGTTAGGGCTCCTCTTCTTTTGTATTAGCTACAATAAGAAATCAACCTCCAAATTTATATGCGGATTTATTTTTCACTCACAGAAATAATCCAAAGCAAGTTTCAGGTTGGCATCGGAAGTAGGGGGAAAGCTGGAACCTGAGGATTAGGGATTGACTTATTCTGGGACTCAGAGGTTCTGCTCTCTCCAAGGTCATCCTGGGGGTCACCTCCATTCCAGACAGCCAAGAAGGGCAAAAGAGCAGAGAGAATTGTGTGAGGGAAGTTTTTCAAGGGCCAAGACTGGAATGCAGATCACTTCTACTCAGATTCATTGGCTGGATGGCAGTCTTACAGCTGCATCTAACTTGAAGAGATGCTGAGGAAGGCATCCTTCATCTTGTATCCAAGATGAAGAAGAAATCGGTTTGCTGAGGAGCCAGCCAGTCTCTGGCTAGTGTTCTACCTGGTACAGCCCTCAGAAAAGTTATTCTTGTTGTCTAGGTCATCTGGGCTGGAATTTTAAGCAACATTCCTGTTATTGAAGACTCAACAGACTTCTTTAAATCTGGAGCAAGCTCAATGGATGTTGTCAGGTAAAACCACCACCTTACTCATTCACACCTGTCCACTAGGGATTCTGAGTGCGACTTGGAAAATAAAATCTAAATCCCTTGTTCTGGATGTTATTACTTTATCCTACCTGTCTGCTACGTTTCTCTTCATCTTTTTTGTTTGGTTTGTTTCCATAGTCAAATATATATATATTTGTTTCCTTCTCTTTATTGTTAACCAGAAGTAATTTTCATATCTCCTATATACCCAGAAAAGCGACCCTTCTAATTGTTTGTTTTCTTTAAAAATGTGTCTTTATATTTCTTAGTTGATTTTCCTCTAATTTGACATTGGAATTGGGATGTTCCAGGTGAAAATGTTAATCGGGAATTTCCTACATAGTTTGATCCAGAAGGATACCTGACCTTGATTACACTTCCCACCAAAATAGTTTTTTCCTATCCTCCCAAATTGCCCAGTAAGATCTATCTAGAATGAGGATTACCAGGCTACTTGTGAGAATAAGGATCATCAACGTATAGTCAGAATTTCTCTACAGAGGATTACAGCAAGTTGAAAAGGCTAGAGTCCTAGAAACCCACTCTTTGGAATGAAAAGTGTACCAAAATCCTAATAGTGGAGAGTTGCAGAGGTGTTGGTTTTTTTTATTTTTATTTTTATTGATTTCAGAGAGGAAGGGAGAGGGAGAGGGAGATAGAAATATCAATGATGAGAGAGAATCATTGATCAGCTGCCTCCTGCAAACCCCACTCTGGGGATCAAGCCCACAACTTGGGCATATGCCCTGACTGGGAATTGAACTGTGACCTCCTGGTTCATAGGTTGACGCTCAACCACTAAGCCATGCCGGCCAGGTTCAGAGGTGTTTTTTCTTTGACACAATAGTCACTAACTAAATAAGGTAAACAATGTCACTCCTCTTGACACAACCTTTCATGTCAACACAGCGAATGTGTTCTTGACAAATATTCTGTTTGCTCATTTATTCATTCATTTATTTAACAACATCTATTGAACACTTACTATATATCAGGAACAGTTTTTTGTTTGTTTGTTTTTTGCACTAGGGATACAGTCATCAACAAGACAAGATCCTTTCATTCATGAAGATTTTGTAGTTCAATAACCAAAAATGATCATCTCAAGAGGAAATGACTTTTTATCAAAAGTCAAGAGTTTGGGTTCCTCAAATTACAAATTTCTCAGCTGTGACTCATGACTTCCCAGAAATTTCTAACTTGCTCAACTAAAGATTTCAATCCTGTACTTTTAGTACTTTTTTTTTTTTTGCCAGCAAAGTACTCTTGCAGGAATTACCCATTTCCTGTTTGAGTGTCTGGCTTACCATAATCATCTGATATTATTATCTTGAATTACCAAGGCATCTCATCTCTTTTAGAGGATAAATGACTGAACAACAGCTGTGGTAGGCTTTCTATGGTGCATCTAGTTCACCATTGCTATTCAAGAAATGTTAAGTAACAGCTGTATTTTGAAAAATCAGCAGTGAAAAATCAAAGGATTGGAAAAGATTTCAGATATTCTATTGAACTATGGTTCTAATTAGTACCTACATTAATCATGTGATACAAACAAATGTTTGTTTTATTCTCACATGCAATCTAGAGAAAATATTCTACAATATGACTTGTGGAGAGGCGCTCCTCCTGCTCCCCTCCTGCTCCCTCGCCACTGGGGAGGAGGGAGGAAAGGAAAAGAGGCAGCGTGTGTGTGTGTGTGTGTGTGTGTGTGTGTGTGTGTGTGTGTCTCTCTCTCTCTCTCTCTCTCTCTCTCCTCAGCGGGGGTCGAACCTCAGGCCCTTCAATCCCCAGGCCGATGCTCTATCCACTGAGGCAAACCAATCTGCACTCTTCTACTCTCTTTTTTTTAGGGCCTAAAGCAGAGGGTTTCAATCACCTTTCTTTTTTCTGGTAGATTCAACTGAGACCACTTGTTGAGGTTAAAGCACTCACATTTGCCTCTTGCTGATCACTGAGAGAGAAAGAATTCTACAGGGCCCCTATAGTTAAATTGTGAAATCCCTACATGAGGAGAGAGAAAAGGAGAATGTCATTTTTTTCCATGTCTCTAATATTCAGAAATATTCCCCTGAGAAAATTGGGGAGAACAGACAGGGAATAAGGTTATGTGTGCCTAGCTCCTGAGAAGCCTTCTCAAACTCTGAAAGAATAACAGGATAACTCCCTGTGGACTAAAAGGTATCTCTGGCCAGCCTCGGTCTTGAAGAAATTCTTGGCTTAATAGTCCTTTTCCAGAGAGCAGGTTGCCTAACTTAGTGAAGAAGTTGCACCGTGTGTATGTTTTCCATCCCATTCCTCTGACCTCATCCTCTTAGATTTCTTCTCCGCAAAGCCAATTGAACAGTTGTATCTCAGACTCAGGCTCAAAAACCTCTTGGATGAGTTGTCACACCTGTATCCTCCTCTCACCTCACCCTAGCATAACCACGTGTACATGTTTATGTACATTAAAAGATGGTGAGAACATCAAGAGACAATATTGGGAGAGAGCTGGGTATATTGACTACTTACTATCTCATCCTAATCTCTAATTTATTATGGCAGTTCTTCTAGAACACTAGTATTTTGCTGTGCTTTTCTCTGAAGTTTTCCCTGCCCCTGTACTTCACCATGGACTGCACCCACTCTACAGGGACTGTCATGTGTTAAAAGCACAGTGTAACTAATAGAAATAAACAGTGCAATGCCCCCTCCCCCCCCAAAAAAAATATGACTTGTGTTTCTCATAATCTTTACAGCTAGGAAATTTCCTTTATTTTATTACTCCTTGACTACATTTGAAAGAAAAAGGAACTGATTTTATGAGCCCCTTATTATCTTGCTTGTATTGCATGTAATTAAAATATTTTTGCCTTGCTTTCTTTTCTCTTTAAGCATATAAAGAACTGCCATTTTCCTTCCACACAGCTTTTTAATTTTTTTTCTTCTGGTGTTATCAATTTCTCTGATTGCTATCATAGAAGACTTCATAGGATATATATAGGCATGTGACATGTTTTACTTTGAAACGACAACTATAATAACACAGCTCCCCTAAATCCTTTAATAAATGTGAGTAACACGAGCTGGTTCTTACTTTAAGGCTGGTTGAAGAGATCAGACAGAAATGTGGTGGGCTTCAGTTACAGAATGAAGATGTCTATATGGCCACCAAGTTTGAAGACTTCATCCAAAAAGTCGTGAGGAAACTCAGAGGAGAAGATCAGGAAGAAGAGCTAGTAGTGGATTATGTAAGTCTATGGTGTTTAAAATCTAAATCATTAAGATTCCTATACTATTAAAAATGCTATATCTTTCATCCACTTGTTTTTAAAATAACAGTTGTATTTTTTTATTTATTATTTGTTTATTTATTTTATCATTTTTATTTCTTGAAGTATTACAAAGAGTATTACATATGTCTCCTTTCCCCCCCCCCCCTTGACATTCCCCCCGCCCCTACCCACCAGTGTCTTGTGTCCATTGGTTATTCTTATATGCATGCATATAAGTCCTTCGGTTGATCTCTTAATCGCCCCCCAAACCCTCCCCAGGCTTCCCACTGTAGTTTGACAGTCTGTTCAATGTTGCTCTGCCTCTGCATCTACCCCTGTTCATCAGTCTATACTGGTCCCCATTATCTATCCCAACCTCACTAGAGCAGTCCCAACCTCACTGGGGCCGTCTCGGCTCAACAGGGCCGTCTCGGCCTCACTGGGGCTATTTCAACCTCACCGGGCCATTTCAACCTCACCGGGGCCGTTTCAACCTCACCGGGGCCGTCCCGACCTAACAGTTGTATTAAGATATAATTCAGTCCAGCCGGTGTTACTCAGTGGCCGAGCATCAACCATTGAACCAGGAGGTCATGGTTCGATTCCCAGTTGGGGCACATAGCCAGATTGCAGGCTCAATCCCCAGTAGAGTGTGTGCAGGAGGCAGCCGATGGATTACTCACTCTCATCATTGATGTTTCTATCTCGCTCTCCCTTCCTCTCTCTGAAATCAATTTTTTAAAATCTTTTTAAAAATGATACAATTCAGATTCCATAAAAATGCACCCTTTCATAGTGTAAAATTCAGTGGTTTTTAGTATATTCAGAGTTATGTAACCATCACCACTATGTGATTATGGAACATTTTTATCACTCCCAAACAAAATCCTGTATTCATTGGCAGTCATTCTCGACCCTCCTCCTCTGGCCACTGGCTCCTGGAAACCACTAATTTACTTTCTGTCTCCATGTTTGCCTATTTTAGATATTTCATATAAATGGAATTATACAATATGTGGCCTTTTGCATCTGGCTTCTTTTACTTAGCATAATTTGTTCAAGATTCAACCATGTTGTAGATTGTGCTATTATTTCATTCCTTTTTCTGGCCAAATAATATTCCATTGTGTTGATACACTACATTTTGTTTATCCATTCCTCATTTCATGTACATATGGGTTGTTTCTACTTTTTTACTATTACAAATAATACTTCTATGAAAATGAATGTATAAGTTTTTGTGTGCACATATATTCTCAGTTCTCTTGGGTATATATTTAGGAGTAAATTGATGAGTCATATGTTTCACTTTTTGAGGAACTACCAAACTCTTTTCCACAATAGCTACACCATTTACAATCTCACTAGCAATATAGGAAAATTTAATTCTCCATGTCCTCACCAACATTTGCTATTTGCTATTTTCTATTTTAGCTGTCCTAATGGGTGTAATCTGGTATTTCATTGTGGTTTTAATTTCCATTTCCCTAATGACTAGTGATGAAGCATCTTTTCGTGTGCTTATTGGCTATTTGTATATCTTCTTTGAAGAAATATCTATTCAGATCTTTTGCCTATTTTTCAATAGGGAGTTTGTCTTTTTAATTTTTGAGGTTTAAGAGACCTTATATATTTTCACCCTAATCAGATATATGATTTGTAAATATTTCTCTCATTCTGTGGGCTTTCTTTTTACTCTTTTGATAGTGTCCTTTGACACACAAAAGTTTTAAAATTTGATTAAGCCTAATTTATCTATTTGTTCTTTTGTCACTTGTGCTTCTATATGTCTTGTCTTATGCCTTTTTTTCCTCTATTCTGTCTTTACTGCTTCCTTTTGCATTAAAAGGATACTGTCTAGTGTGCCCATTTAATCCCTTACTGTTACTTTTACTATATATTTTTTATTATTTTCTTAGTAGTTGCCTTGAGGATTACAATGGACATTTTTGCTTAAAACTTTCCTATTCAGATTAATTCCAACTTAATACCAACAGTATAGAAAAACTTTGCTGCAACATACGCTGCTCCCTAATCTTCATTTTTGCTACTATTGTCATGCAAATTACAACTTTTTACATTATAAAGTCACCAACATCGTTTTATAATTGCTGCTTCATGCAGTCATTTTTTACATTTATTCTGGCTTCTGTATTTACCTTTATCAGTGTTCTTTATTTCTTCATGTAGATTTAGGTTACTGTCTTGTGTGCTATCATTTCAGCCCAAAGAACAACTATTAGTACTTTTAAGGGTAATGTGATAGCAATGAATTCTCTCGGTTTTTGTTCATTTGGGAATGACTTAATTTCTCATTTGTTCTTGGAGGGTATTTTTTGCTGTAAATTGAATTTTTGGTTGACAGTCATTTCTTTCAGCACTTATTAGCTAATTGTGGAGAGTGCAATCTAGGCAACACATGTAAGAGAGAGAAAGTGGAAATGAGGAGGAACATCAGGAAAGAAAACTCAAAATGGCACCAGTGTGAAAGGAAACCTATTGATAAAGGCAATTTCAAGGCTTAAATAAAAGCAATGGCTGCACTCCATAGGTGTTGCCACTAGATGGTAGTGTTTCCATTATCTGGAGGTCTTTTGTGTTAATGTTTCTTCATCTGTATAAGGAAAAAAATCAGATCTTATAAAGCCCAGCCTCAAGCACTTCCATCATCACAGATGCCAACCTCCTGCGTCAGTCGCCAGCCTGAACATCACGAGGCCCAGATCTTACATATATTTGTCTCTTCGGAAAGTAGGAACTAGAATCCCACTGACTTAACTTCTCCCTCTGCACTAGGGAATAGCTTCTTTATTGCTAGTCAGTATCAAATGGGTAAGCACAGAAATCCATTGAATCTATTACTATAACTCTCTCTTAGGTTTCCAAGGAGGTCAATGAAATGACAGTAAATATGCCATATCAGTGTTTCATAAATGGACAGTTCACAGATGCTGAAGATGGAAAGACTTACGACACTATCAACCCAACAGACGGCTCTGTGAGTAATCGCTCAGTGGGCACAGTGACCACTGGTCGTGGATTTTTAGTTTATACACAGTTGTCGGACAGACAGTCTCAAGAAGTTACTTTATTCTATCACTCTGCCTCTGAGCACTTCATATAAATGTACTTCCTGCATTCTTTTCAACTATTCAGTTCCGGTCCTGGCTGCTGTTAACTACTGTAGCCTATTTTATAGAATGAATATTTATGATGAATTTAGACAGATACATATACACATCAGAGGCACACCTACACAATAAAGTTGTGGGGAAATTTTTCAAACTTTGCAAGCTCCGTGGCAAGAAACTCACCTTCCCTAAGGCACTAGAAGAAATAGTTATAGTTGTCCTAAACGAGTCTTTCCATAATGTAGTGTGACGTGAGAAATACCAAATTTCAGGCTCACAATTTTCATGTTAAAATTGTTTTGGGGGTCTCCTTTTTTTGTTACTCTATTACTGGGTGTATTGGGTTTCCATCATAACATTCCCTGGATTTTATAATATAATATTAATTCGAAGAAGCATATTCATATATCTCACTATAAAATAACCTTTAGCCTATTTTTACTCATCTTGAAATAGACAATATGCAAAGTATCCTATGCTTCTTTGGTGGATGTTGATAAAGCAGTAGCAGCAGCCAAAGATGCCTTTGAAAATGGTGAATGGGGAAGAATGAATGCAAGAGAAAGAGGAAGATTGATGTACAGGTATGTTTTTTTAAACCCAGTAAGAGGGCAAGGAAGCCAAGTCTGCGAACTTTGATATTGACTAACATTGCCAAGATTTAAAATATTTCTTCAAAGCATCCTAAAATACACCTATTTATATAACATGTCTTCTGTTATTTATGTCATACAAAATTTCATATATGTGAGTTCCTGACTTTTGTATTATTTTTTGTACCATTCAAGGTCCCAGTAGGAAAAGAAGTTTAATAAAAGGCTATTTCCCAAGGCGTAGGCAAGGTCAAGGGATAATGAAGTACCCAGGCAAGGGTAGCAACAGGAGGCAGCTACCACTACTCCAAGGACAGAGGAAGGGGCTGGTACTAGATTCTGGCAAGGTCTAAAGCTATAGAAGACCACACTATGGTGGTTTTGGTTGGGGTACACAGCAGCTGCTGAACCACAGCCCATCTGTGAGGCAGCCGGGGGATTCCAATTCCTGACCACTTTTGCCTCTAGTTCACCAGTCTTCTGGGAGTGCCGCCCATTGGACTCTCATTGGCCAAACCC